TTTATTTTATTAACCATTTATTTGCTAAATATTGTCTTCGTACCTTCGTTTTGTATTGTTATGTTTTTGAGTCGTATGTTACGACTGATCTAATCAGTCTGCTTTATATTTAGATCTTCGATGATCTTTGTAGCATATTTAAATTCAATATATCTCGCCGTGGTAATCGCCAACGTCAAGGGGAGTTGATAGGACACGATAAATAGAAGATATCTTCTAATGCGTAGAAGCCTCTCTTATCTTTCTACATCCGTGCCCGTATTTCACTGTTCATGGCGTGAATTAAAGTTTGGAAAACTCTGCAATAATCGATAAGACAAAAAACTGTCTTAGTTTGACAGTTATAAGAATAAATTTTCTTAATAAACCTGAAAATTTTCGTGAAATCCTGACTTTTTGCTATTATAACAGCTATAAACTGTTTCCTACATATAAAAAAGTTGCGGTAATTCTCGTGACCTAAAAACGTAGTTGATTTTACTCTGCATTATTGTTTTGACCTAGTTTACCACACTTTTAGGAAACGATAACGCTCATTGAAAGAAAGTAACAGTTCCTTGGTAGATATCGGGTAGTCTTTCGACGTGCTAGCAGTTAGCCAGCCAATGCTAATTGCGGTTAACCACGTAACAAAAATGGAAAGTAAGGCTCGCGATTTATTAACGGTATTTATGATATTCATATTCATAATTAATGGCAAGTGAAGAGTTGTTAACTTTTTAAGGTTACTGCTTATCGTTTTAATTACGATAACATGCAAGGTAGTATCGACTGACTGAAGTTGTATTTGAATTAAAAACATGTCCCAATATTATAGTTTATTTTTATGAACGAGAGAGTAATTAGCATAATTTTAACTGGTACCTTCGACCACTCCATGGGCGTGCTCAAGATTAATTGAAAAATTACTTTGAATAATTGTAAAAAATAAATGAATTATTTCAGTGTTATAAAGTGTTATATGTATGTAAACAAAAGTGACCTCTTTTATCACACACTATATTAGAACTGACTGGCCTACATTAAAAAAGGTTTTAAAAAATTCACATTTTTTTTAATTTTTAAAAATTACAAAAGAGAAAAAGAGTTTTTAAAACCGTCTAAGGTATGTTAAATAGATGAATAAAAATATTAATATAAAACTTACAGCTACTTGTTACAAATCCAAATCAGATTCAGAAGATGAACTTTCAGAACCAAGATTTATAATAACTGGCTCGATCATTTTATCAGTAATATTGTCCAGCTTCCACATTTTTTCCTCTTCTTTAATAGTGTGATTTACTGCCTTTTCTCAGTTTTCAGGTTTTACATTATTTACGGCCTCCAAAAACAACTGTTTAACATCATGAATTTTAAAAGTGGTATTTTTTCTTGAAACTTCACTCTTTATCTGTGCCCATACCAGTTCAATCGGGTTTAATTCACAATGATATGGTGGAGATCTAAGTACTGTCATTCCACGATTTTTGGCAATTTCATCAATTTCGTATTTTTTAAATTTTTCTTTATGAAGGGCACACAACGAATAAAGTTCCTTTCTTATAGATCCGGGATGGTACGTAATATTTTTTGAACTCAGCCAATTCTGCAAGTCTTTTTTTAACCACTTGGTTGTGGGCAGTCCTTCTATAAGTCTGGAGTGATAACTTGCATTATCCATTACTATTACACAGTTCTTAGGAAGAAGATCTATCATTTGTTCGAACCATTCTTGAAAGACATCAGCGTTCATGTCTTCATGGTAGTCACCGGTACGAGTTGATTCAAAAGTTAATAAACCACCTTCAACAAAACCGTCTGAACTGCCAATGTGTACTATTATCAGCCTGCGTCCCTTTCCTGATGGTGGGTTTAAACCAGTAGATAAGTTATTTACAAAAGCGTGCCTTTGACTTGTAACAGTTTCATCCTGCCAAAATTTATTTGGTGTATGACCCTCGTTGATCCATGTTTCATCAAGATAAAATATTTTTCTTTTTTGGTTTCTCATTTCCTTTATGGTTCTTAGAAAATGTCTTCTCCATATGACAATATCGCTTCTTTCTAATAAAATAGACTTTCTGGGATTCTTTTTCCAGCAGAAGCCTATTTCTTTTAAAAGTTTCCATAACGTACTTCGACTCATTTCTGGGTAATCCTTATCATCTCGAACTGAGACAAGAACTTTATCCAATGTTGGAAATTCTTGTCTAAAGAAGAATTCATGCACTTTCCGTCGAAGTCCTTCTTTAAAATGATATTCTATTTGAAATTTTGGTTTCCCTGGAGCATTACGTGGCATTTGAAAACTACCACATTTCTCTTCTTTAATAACTCTGTAAATCGTAGATTTCCCAACACCAAGTGTACTGCTAACTAACTCAACGGTCTCATCAACACTTTCACATAAACGTTTGCCTGTAAATGATTTAAAACAATTAAATATTAATGTTTTTTCATTAACTGTTAAAGGACCAATTTTTCGGCGTTTACACGGCACTTTCAAATTTTCCATAACACTAGTATACACAATAAACTGCACCTTGCAACTGAAGTACCTACTTTTAGTGAACTGTTAAGAATTTTGAATACGCCACTTGGACCTTCCTACAAAATGGAAAAACCCACTATCACATTTTCTGTGGAATAAGTTTAGAAGGTAATTATCTAGTCAATTACTGTCGTAGATTCCTCGAATTAAAGAATTAAATGTTTGATTGTTGAAACCCTTACTTCGTGGAATGCACTCATTTCAGATAAAATAAAACGTTTTATTTTATCTAAAGAATTAAACTTTATTTTGCAAGTAGGTAGGTACTTATTAAACTTTTATTGGTTATATATAACCAATAAAATAAACATCTTACATTTCTTGCAAATTCATTAGTACCTGTTAACCTCCATCACTCCGACACTGGCAACCTTATTTAGGGATTAGTAACCCTCACAAATATTGTATTCTATTCTGCTCCAACCTTTATACCTGGTGGTCATAATCAGTTTAAAATTGTTTTCCTATATACTTCTGTAAACTTGTTGACAAATATCTGTTTTTCATTGAGTCACCCGTATCAACAGTTTAGGGATTTGCATACATAATTTATTGTTTTATTACTCTCTCATACATAAAAATACACTATAATAAAGTTCTCTTCGTACACAAGCGGATGTACGTCCTCAAGTATAGCGTATTATCTAGCGCCTGAAGTATTTGGATCAATTTATCGATATTCATTTTAATGAGAGATTAATCGATCAAAATTACGGGTTCCGAGAAAGAGGATTTTATATTAACGATATTAAAGAATGATTGTATAGGCTAGTAAAGAAAAACACCTCTAAAAATCTTATACAAGTTTGGAAGGTTCTATAAGATATAGAAAAAGTGAAAAAAAAATTTTTGGTTGTAAAACGTTTCTTATTCATTTTGGAGCAAAATGGTTCAAATAAGAATTATAGATCCTAAAAAGATCTTTAATTTGCGAGTTTCTGAATAAAAATACATAAACAATTGACCGAGATAATTACAATAAACTCTTATTTTTGCAGTACTTTATAAATGTTAATAACTTTGTTTTTTAAATAATGACATGTAATATAACTTCTTGAAATTATGGCAATTAATGAGTTATTGAGGTATGCTAAATCTCAGGTAAATCGACTAAATATTTTATAAGTTATTCAATTTGTTTATCCGGGAAAGCGATTATTTAAACAACTGTAATTGTCCAAATAGTGACTCTAGAAGTATTTAGTAGATCGCAATGGATTCTTTGAGGTTTCAATTTTAATATATAATAAAAAAATCAACATTTTATCAATATTGTTATTAAAAAACCGTTTGGCTTTTAAACTTGTATATATGTACAATAACTTTGATATTTTTTGTCACGCGCTTGTAAGTAGGCTCGCTGAAAAGATGGTGACAATGTTATAAAAAAAAACTTCTATGACCAATAGGAACCAAGCTAGTATTTTTTTCTTAAGTTCATATTTCCATTGTTTATTAACATTAAGAGCTGAAAATTGAACATATTAAAGTAAAGATCTAGATTTTTTGATCCACTTTATAGATGTCATATACAGAGAAGGTGCAAAAAGTTATAACCCGTTAAAGTGATCGTACTGGTAAAATACCGCCACGTTAAAGTATAGGGGAAAACTGTACAAACACCGTATTTTTTAGACTGACACTTCAAATTGAAGCGTGCTGGAAAAATTGCAATAACTCGCTTTCTATGGCACGCATAACATTAGTTGTTTTAAACTGGGGTAGCTCGAGAAAATAATAGAAACTGGGCTACTTTCACCTCTCGGAAAAAATTTTCCATAGAAAAGTTATTGAATTCTCTTATTATTTCGTGAGAAATATTTAAATTTTATTAGCCAATATAAATTTATTTATATATAATTAATATTAATATAATATTAATTATAAATTAATACTCCAAATGTATTTATTTAAATTAAAATATGAAACGAAATACGAAAAAGTTTTTAAAAATAAATTTTGAAACGAACCTTTTTGTACTTTATAACAAGAATGGTCCCGTTTTACCACTCTAAATCTAATGGTGTTCAGACCCTTTACGTTAACGAAGACGCCTTCCTGTAGTCTATGGAGATTGTCTCTGTCAACTGTTCATCCACTTTAATGTTGGCGGTTTGGTTGTAATATAAATTATATATAATTTGCAAGTCTATCATCCAAGCCCGCTTCTTTTAAGATTGATAAGCGCTTGTGATGTTTTACTCTATCAAATGCCTTTTTGTAGTCGATAAAACAAATATATACATCACAGTTACTTACTGTATAACGTAAGCATATTTTATATATTTTTTTTCTTAGCTTGAATTCCAATCTAACTTTTTCATGAATATATATTTTCATGTTGATATTGATGTTAAATTTTTTAATAAGTTGACCATTCATGTAGACTAGAGAATTTACTAAAAGTCTTAAAATTTGTTTTAAATAGTTTTAAATATGTTTTATTAACCTAGTGTTTCTTTTTTAGTGAAGCCTGTCGTTATAAGAAAGTATTGTGGAAGGAAGTGAGAGTAGGCGATTTAATACATTTATCGAATAATGAAGTCGTACCGGCGGATATCTTGGTACTTCGTTCGAGTGATGCTAGTGGCCTATGTTACATCGATACCGGTCATTTGGATGGAGAAACGAACCTCAAACAGAGGCAAGTTGTTCGAGGTTTCGTTGAAAAGGTAAGAGGTTTAAAATTTTAAAGGTATCGTTGACATTAATTAGAAAATTTATTAAGCACATTGAATAAAATTGCACTAAACTGTAGACTGTAGATACAAGGGTTCGTAAACTTAATAGACCTTGTCGCAATGTGGAAAGGTCTATACCCTTATCCTTACCTATCATGCTTGCTTGCTGGATTATTTTCGGATTTTTCTAAAAGCTAAAATCGTTGATTTCTTAATTACTCCTTCAGTTAGTCATATATAAAGCTCAACAGGCCTTGAAGGTCTATAATACCTATATATTACAAAACTTGTATCAAGTGGGGTGTTCTTTTGTCCAATCATGCTCCTTGCCTACTAAATTGACTTACTATTTTTCTCCATTCATTCCTGTTTGTTGCTTCCTAACCAATTCCCTCTTTTATGAGATTATCCTGTACACCAGGGGTGCTCAAACTTAACTGCTGGCGATCTACCTCAATATTTTTCGACTACTTACGATCGACTCTGAGAGACTGCAAGTGTGTGTGATGCAGGGTTGTCGTACATACACGATACACCCTACCTACCTAGGTAGGGCGTACCGTAGCATATATAGATATTAGCTTTCTGCACAATATAGGTACATTATTTTAGTCAAGGTTTGGGTTAGGTTTAGTTAGGTTCTTCTCTACAATATCAATGAAAAAACTCATAGTTATTCAAAATTGCGAGTTTATTTGTTGTTACAAAACAAAAGAGTTACATATGGTGTTAAACTTAACTAAGGAGTGGCTTTGGATGTTGAAGCGTGGCACTGCATGTCCTCAGTATACTTTTCATAAGATGGTACGTAACCACTGAGTGCTAATCGCAAGCATGATGTCATATGATCGTCAGTTAGTCGATTGCGATATTTTGACTTAATTATCTTTTATTTCATTCATTTCATTTCGTCATTCATTTTTATCATTTCAGAAAATGCAGACTCGCACAAGTAAGTTGACCCAAAAATATCGTCAGTTGAAGGGCGATTTGCCTTACATTCGGATATTTATCTTCAGATATAAAACGCCAGAAATTTGTATCAGATACTGTAGCTTTGAGATGTATATCTGATATAATCTGCACCAACTCATTTTCAACAGAACATGAGTTCATATTAAACTGACTTGCTATTTCAGTAGCTAATTCCTCAATGTTTTTACATGAAAAAGGATAACTCATAAATGATTCTATATTTTCCAATTTACTGAAATCATAAAAACGCATTTCGAATTGTCCCAAAATATTTGATAATTCAGCCTCATACGTATCATAATTCAACTGAGGAATCCTTGCTTTCAAAGACGGAAAATGTTTCAGATCCTTTCTTTTCAGTTGATCTATCATAAGTTGCAATTTACTTTTGAATGCGTTTACTGCGCTAATCATCTCAATAATAGTTTTTTTCTTTACCTTGAAGCTCCAAATAAACGGTGTTTAAGTGCATTGTGATGTCAGTCAAAAATGCCAAATCATTTAGCCATTTTTCGTTTTTCAAAATCTGAGTGTCATCACCTCTTTCGTCTAGAAAAGCTGTTATTTCGGGCAATAGTTCTTGAAACCTTTCTAGGAATTTTCCGCGACTCAACCACCTGACGTCCGTGTGAAGAACTAATTCAGTGTGTTCAGCTGACTCCCTATCTTCCAACCGCAACTGAAAGAGCCGCCGTTGCAAGCTACGTGCACGGATGGAATTCACAATTTTTGTTGCAATGTCCATAATTTCCTTCGTGTTTAAAACTTTTGAACACAAAACTTGTTGATGTATAATGCAATGGAATGAAAAAAATGAAGGGAATTCTTCATTAGCTCGACACAATGCCACAAAACCATTTTTGTTTCCAGTCATTGCTGGTGCTCCATCGGTTGTAATGCTCATTAATTTATATATTGGTAGCTCGTAGTTTTTTACAAAATTTAAGAAAACGTCATATATATCTTCGCCACGGGTCTTCCCCTTCAGAGGAATGATTGTCAAAAATTCTTCCTTTGCCAACATGTTATTGAATACCATCCGAATAAAAATACACCGCTGGGCAGTGTCTGTCATATCGATGGATACATCGAACTGTAAAGAAAAGTATGTACATTCCATGATATCATGTTTTAGTTTATCTGCGATGTCTTGACTCATGACTTCGATACGCCTTGTGACAGTCGGACGAGATAACTGAAGTTCTCTAATAGCAGAAATGATTTCTGTTTTATTTTTAAAATCTCCAAATAAAGTCTCACCCGCTTCAATAAATGCTTCCTTCACCACCGATCCATCTTCAAATGGTTTCTTGTGTTTCGCCAAAATATTAGATATTTTAAATGACGCGATCGTAGCAGCTTTTAATTGTTTGGCTGGTCTTGTGAATATGGATTGTTCTTTTTTCAAACAAGATATCAAATCACTTACTTTTCGTTTTCTTAATTCACTCTGTGGCGGAAAATCCCTTTCATAGTTTTTATGAACCGTTTTATGATGCCTCTCTAAGTTACCATGCTTAGGTATTGCAACTGACGCACGACAAATAACACAAATGCACTTAGCCTTCACCATAGAAAAGAAAAATTCTTCCTCCCAATCCTTATTAAAATGATACGTTTTAGATTTCTTCACTGCACTCATTTTCCACTATTTAATAATAAACTTTGTATCGACGTAGGATCGCTATCAAGTTACAATTCAGAATAACTCAAATTCCTGCAGGCGCAACATTTATATCGGCGTGAACGAAAGTCTCGAATGTTCCCGTCAAACGCTCCGCCCGAAACTAGACTGTACTGTCTCTCATCTAGAAACAACACGGCTTTTCTTTGACAAGTGCCGCGCGTTCCTTTGATAAAGCCACCTTTTGCCGCAAGCAGTGTTATTTTATTACGTAATACATTTTTGTAGTTGATAGAATATCATCCCAAATTTGATTAATAATTATAATAAATATTGAATTAATAAAATAATTAGTTAATATATGTAAATATAAAATATGCTGTGTGGACAGTATTTTGTTGTCCCCACTTCTTTGAATTGCAATGATACTTAGTCAAGCATTCTATGTATTTGTATAGTTCAGTATTAATAAAAACGTTTAACTCTGTTGACAGTAGTTTAGTTACCTACCTACTTATTAAAATTTTTTTTCTTCTCGAGATATACCCAAAAAGCACTCGCGATCGACCAGTCGATCGCGATCGACCGTTTGAGCACCCCTGCTGTACACTATCAAACCGTCTTTGTCTGGGTCGTTCTTTCCTTTGTTGTGATTGGGCTTTATTTTTTAATCATCTTTGGCATCCTCTTCCTTTTCATTCTCATCACTTCTTCTTTATTAAACTACTGAAGTACGATCTACAGCTAACTTCAATTTCATAGTATTCAGATGACTTGGGCTGCTTTTTGTTACTTTGTTTATTCGTGGTCCTGTTTTCCTACTTCTGCAGTATATTAATCTTCTTATGTACGATTTGTATCCAAATTCAGTTTCATGGTTCCTGATTCCCAAATTCCTGGTTCTTTTTTACTTTATTTGTTCCTATTGTCTTACGAGAAACTAGGAAATGGTCAGTCACTCCTTACAGAACCCCGTATGCAAGGACAATATATCTGAGACAAAGAGTTGAGCCGTTCCTAGCTCTACTCGCTCATGCTCACCTGACATAAGAGAAAGCATATCGATAGCAGCGCGATAGCATGAACCGACCCTTTCTCACCTCTATTATAGATATCTGGTTTGGTTTGTGGTTTTTTGCCAATTATCGAAGACTTTGTTGATTTGAACACTTTTTATTCTTCTCCCTTCTTGTATAGGCTTTAAAGCCTGTTTCTTCTTCAATATTAGCCTCCTACATTGTTTAAATTATTGCGCCATATTTTTTTTTGGTCTGCCATTACTTCTTCGTCCATTTGGTCATTTATCTCGTGCTATTCGTACTATCCTATTCTCTGCCATTTTACTAATGTGTTCGTTCCACTCCTGTTTCCGTTTTGTCACTCATCCATTTGTGTCTTCTATATTGTATTCTTTTCTTATGTTATCACTTCTCTCTGTATCCAATAGACTCTTCCCTGATATTCGTCGGAAGTATTTTCATCTCTATTGTTTCTATAGTCGTCTCGTTTTAGATGTGTCAGGTCTTGTCTCCGCCGTATATAATAATATAGGTCTAATTGCTGTTTTATAGATTCTTGTTTTTGTCATTCATCGATTTTATCACATTAAAAACTCAATTTTTCTCTAGTCTTCTAACTTGTTGACTAAGCGGTCTGAATCTGTCTTTCTCTTTTTATTATAGTTCGAAACTTTATGCATTTGTCTGTATCAGTCTTCTAACATTTTCACGTCATTTGTTGTTTATAACCAGCTGTTTTCTGAAATTAATTTTAAATGCTCCATGAGTCCATAAATGGTATGGTTCTTCTCAGAACCTTCTTTCATGGCGTCATCAGTCATGACGTCACATAGTGTATTGGATGTTTCGAGAATTATTTCATGTTATTATTGACGAATCTGACAGATGCCAGGATCGTACTTAGCCACCGGTGAAAAGCTTATGGCATTAAACTAGTACATACTTTGGTTGCAAGGTGGATTAAATAGTAAACAATATTATTTATTGAATTTAAAAATATGTAAACATTCAAAAATGACAACAAAAAGATCCATATATTGTTTTTTTATAATCGTATATAATACAAGCATATTTATTTTAGTTTGTTTTCTAGTTATACAATTAAATAATTTGTAGTAATTTTTTGTACACCTAAAACAATGCTGTTTTCAAAAATTTTTATTAGGAACCTAATATAATTATTTCATGACATATCAACTGATGATATCTCTGAAAAAAAAACATAAAGGTGACAGGAACTGTAAGTGAACATCGTGTGTGAAAATGTCTAGTGATGGAGTCGAAGCTAATGAAGAAATTGGCAAGAGGTACATAATGATTATAGATTCGACACAACTAATGAAATTTTGTGTGTGAAATAGTATGGCAATAGT